TGACAAAGCCAGGCTACATTGAAGATCTACACCCATTTCTTTCTTCCCTAGGTCCTGGAGAAATGCAGAGATGCAGGTTTAACCAAGTCCATCAGGGTGTCCAGTTTCAATCACTAACTGCTGGAACTGATCCTCAGACAAGCCATTACCCAAGTACAAGCCCACCTACAACCAGATGAGCCCTCAGGGCCACTGGGGCCTTCTCTGACTTTGTGCTCATCACACACTTCCTTACATTAGAATAATGGAATTGTTCAGAATGTTATGCTTTAATTTTTTAAGAGAATGTCAAAGGCTAGCCATGCCACTGTTATGTGTATTTCTTTTAATTTAACTTTTCCATAAATATTAAATAATGCAATTGTTCAGAATTAGTATCAGAATTGTTTCCTAAATATTAAATAATATAATTGTTCAGAATTGGAATTAAATAATGTAATTTAGGTCCCCAAAACTTTTTTATTTTCAATATTTGTAACTTTTATTTTCAGTTCAGGGGTGCACGTGCAGGTTTGTTATATAGGTAAATTCATGCCATGGGGGTTTGTTCTACAGAGTATTCTGTTACCCAGGTATTAAGCCTGGTACTCATTAGTTATTTTTCAAAATCCTCTCCCTTGTCCCAATTTTGATACATTGGTAGAGGCAAGAACCTGAATAGAGTGCATTCAAAAAAGTGTAGGAAGAGAAGAATTAGATACAGAAGTGTACAAGGTATTCAAATAATGGGTTATAAGTACACCTGAGAATTGAGAAGTCCCTGGAGAAACTAATGGAGACTAATGACAATTTTCTTTGAGATGGCAGAAAACACAGCATGCCTATATGCTCTTAGGGAGAATCTAGTAGAAACAGAAAAATTGATGATGCAGGAGTGAGAGGATGAGAACTGTTCACTCCTACAATCTACTGGAGTTGATGCAGTCAGGGTGACCCAGCAGCTTGCACACCTTCTGACCACTCCCGGATAGGTCAACAGCAGGGGAGGTTGTGAAGAGAAAATTATTAAGTTTTATAGTTGTTTTGATTAGCATTAAACCAGGTGAGAAAAACCTATTTCTGAATGGTTGAAACTCCATGTGATATGGACAGGAGACAGGGAAATACTGGGTATAAGAGTGTGATTTCCCAGCAAAGGTCCCACCCTCCAGCGTGGATACCTGTGCCCCTAAATGAGAACAAGCATTTCAGTTTTCACACCCCCAAAATTTCCCTTTTGGCCCACCATGCCTCCAGTCTGACCCCACATAACCCCTCAAACCTAAGATCCAAGGCAGAACAGCAGGTGAGGAGACAAGTAGGCAACCAGATGGATGGTAGAAAAATGACACACAGAAAGAGAGAAGAGGAGGGACATTGGACACTGAAAGGAGTTTGGCCTTGGAGGATTGGAGAAGAGTCTGGCCACTGGGCAGCCTGACTCCATGGGAAGATCACCTTCCTACTCCATTCCCCCATTCCGGCTCCACATCCATCTTGCTGAGAGCTGCCTCTACCACTCAATAAAATCTTGCACTCATCCTTTGAGCCCACATGTGGTCTGACTCTTCTGGGATGCCTGGCAAGAGCTTGGGATACAGAAAGCTGTCCCACTGGCCCTCTGCCTTTGAGATAAGTCAGAGAGTCCATGGAGCTGCAGACTCAAGCCATCTGCAGATGGCAAAGCTGAAAGAGATTTGTAACACTGTGGTTGCAGGCACCCACACCTAGATACTCTCATGGAGCCAGAGCCCAAAGCGCTCACCCTGGCCTGTGCACCTGCCCATCTCCACGCTCCCCCTCCCTCAAGGAGTTTGAACAGGTGAGCCACACCCCTGTCACAAGTCCTGCAAGAGGAATCAGGAAACTGTCTCATTTCACATACAAATCTGTTAGCACCATATCAAGAAATCTGAGGAATGGTAAGCTCTGGGGGTCGCCTAGGAGAGTCTGCAGCTTCCATTGAAATGACATACCGCATCCTGTATTTATACCGTCCACTTTGAAATCAATGTGAATTTAACTTCAATTCCATTCAGAAACTCTACTTTTCCACAGCTCTGAAAAAAAAAAATTCTGAAATAATTATTTTGCCACGTATGGAATTATTGGGTGAAATTATTTCTTTATTGATCACATTAAATGTATCACCTACTATATCCTCCAAAGACTCTTGTAAGAAATCTGTGGATCATCTTGTCCAGGATCCCTTGTACCGCACGCGTCATGTTTCTCTTCCTGCGTTAATTTTGGTTGTTGCTGTTGTTTTAGATGGAGTTTTGCTTTTGTTGCCCAAGCTGGAGTGCGATGGTGCAATATCGTCTCACTGCAACCTCCGCCTCCCGGGTTTAAGCTATTTTCCTGGCTTTGCCTCCCAAGTAGCTGGAATTACAGGTGTGTGTCCCCATGCCCAGCTAATTTTTTTGTATTTTTAGTAGAAATAGTGTTTCACCATGTTAGCCAGGCTGTTCTCAAACTCCTTTACCTCAGGTGATCCGCCCACCTCGGCTTCCCAAAATCTCTTGCTATTTGAAGATTATCTTTTTGTCTGGCTTTTAGAGTTGGATGATAACACATATAGGTCTGAATCTCTTTGAGTTTATGCTATATGCAGTTCTTTAAGTTGCCTGAATTTGTAGATTCTTGTCTTTAACCAATTTGAAAAAGTTTTGATGA